ATGATGCTTTGAATAATCCTTTAAGACTAGATAAGTGCTTGCTCAGTAGTCTTCGTCTGCATCTCATGTTTAGTTCTCCATCTAAGTATTTGTCATTGATGCTTTGGTGTCTTATATGATCTGGTATATAGACTTATCTTCTTCCAGAGTTTCTTTTATTCTGTGCTACTCTCGGTCTTGATGCTTGATTGACTTTCTTCTGGCCTTAGACATATCCCTCGTCTGATATGTGCTTTAGAGTAGTTGCACTTGACACATCTTTGTCTAGATATTTTGTGATTATCTGGTACATGTTCATGTTCCAATTATTCATCTCTTGACGCTTGGTTTCCTATGTCATTTGCTTCATCTTTCTCGTCTTTAATGGTTCGTGTCTTTCCTTGACTATTCCTTATAGCCTTCGTCTAATACTTTGATGTCTCATTTTGGTAATGGCAGACTTCGTACTTATGCTTAATTGCTTATCATCTGATTCTTTCATCCGATTTATACAATCTTCATGAATTGTGACATTTAATGCTTCTGACTTAGCATTTAATGCTTGCTTGTTGAATCTACACTTCTCAAGATCTTTTGTACTTTCTTGGTTTTGTTTTTGTAAATGTGTTGTCTTTTCCTGGCTGGTAGGTGTACTTGCTCTGACACACGCTGTTTTGATTTGTGGATAAGCGCTCGTCCATTTGTCTTATCTTCCTTTTTATACTTTAATGACTTCATACGTTCTTTTGAGAGTGTGGATGTTAGGTAGTTTGTCTCGTTGTGTCTTCAGACGCAATCCAGCTTCCGTGATTTTCTTCTGTGTATTCGAGTCTCCGTCTGATTGGCTGTTGTAGATACTTGACTCTGTCTAGGGTGCTTTAACTTAGTTTTGCACATCATCCAAGGTCTTGTATCATCTGAGGCTTCATTATTTTACTTCTTGTGCTAGGCTTGATTTCGTTTGATTGCTTGATCTCCTCATCTGCCGTCTTGTTAGCTTTCTCCCTTCACTTTGATTGTTCATTCTATTTTTTTTTGTCTTCGTCTGATGTATCCCCTTCGTTTACTTAGCCTTTATCCAATGCTTGGTTCATATCTCTTGATTCTAGTATGGATGTATATTCTCTATTCTTCAGTTTACATGTACTTATATCTGAAACACTAACACACTTGTTAGTAATAACAATATGTATTATATTTGTCTCATTCAAAACCTTGCTGGAAATTGCTTCCGTCTTCGTCTGACTTAACAAGATAGACTAGAGAGAAAGCAAAGAAGTTGAAAATCTATCATCTCTAAAAGACAAAAGTAAGTAGTATTGATTATTGAGTGTTGAATGATTTTTCATTTACAAAAACTAATAAATGGGTTGTGATCTTTTAAGTAATTTTAATAATAAGAAAATAAGATATATAAAAAATGTTAGATATGTGTGTTATAAAATATTGGGCCTTATCTCAAATATCATTTTTTTTAAAATTAATTTATATCAATAATACTACTATTAAAAAAATTTGGAAGCCTTATAAATTCAGGAGCTCTACGTAGTGGCCTTAATTACCTTATTGAATGTCCAGCCCTGTTCAAGCATTATTTTCATATTAATTTAAAGGTCAGTGTAATGATAAAATTAGAGCATGTATAAAGTGATAAATAACTCAAACTTTTTTATCATTTTGTAATCCTATCTATTCATCAAAAATATATATATAAAAAAAAGAAAATCATTTTACTTTTATATTATTTCTTTATTTAAATAATAAAATACTCTAACTATTTTTTCCCATCTTTTTGTTTATTAAACTTGTAAAATTCTAGTGTGCATATATTCTTGGTTACGATCAACTCGCACAAAAAGAAATAACTCTTTTTCATTTAGAACAATATTTATGTTAAAATAGTCACTAAAATAATGATTATATTAAAATTACCAAACATCCATTATTTTAATCCTTATTTTAAAAATGTCAACAACTCAAATGATAATTGTTAGATCATGGAATATTATTATTATTTTCATATGTAGTTTTTTAATATGAATAACAAAAACTAATTTTTTACTTATATAATTTAATTTTTATTTATCAAACATTATTTTAAAATTAACGAGAATCAATCTAGAAAATATCTAGTGAACACTATGTGTCTTAAGCCAAGCCTTAATTATTTATCTCATAACAGCTAAGTTAGGTTTGAACACCACACAGAAACTCATAAAATTATAAAAATCGTAAGGGGAAATGCAACTTTTGATCTAACATATATAACGTATCAAGTAATGCCAAGGCATTCTATATTCTACAACCCTTCCTAGTATCGTCAATGCAACTTTTTTAGGCTTTGACGAATTTGTGCACCGATGTTGTTTTTCTGAGCCTGAAATTCTTGGCCTAATATTATGCCAATTTTGTTGCATCGAGGATGCATGAATCCAAACATAATGTGGAATACTATACTGTTATAGTAGTAGCATAAAATTAATGCCATAGAATACTCCTATTTCAATTTGGTTTCTTTTATATATAATGAACGGTCTTAAAAGTCTTACCTGTCGATTATACAAGGTTAAATATATTCGTGCTCATCCTTATTTCTGTGGAATATTTTTATCACTTTTTTATAAACTTTGACTTTCACGGCTAATTAAAACTAGAACCCGAGTGCTATAAATATAAAAGAGTCTTCCTTGAAAAGAATTCTTCAGAGTCTATAAAGTGCTATAAATATAATACTTCACGTCTTCACTCTTTAATGGCAAGATTAAGCATCGCAATTAACCTCTTTTTTCCTTCGGATTAGGTAAACCAACCACCAGATATATATCTGTTATTTTGTTTAATTTTATGTATGGATACGTGTATAGATTGCCCCCCATAGCAAATGCATTAAAAAAACAAAACAAAACAGAAAATATTAGCAACACTTTTTAAATATTTTTTATTATTAATTGAAAATTATAAATTTTAGTAAATTTGGTTATTAAAGAGAGACTCGTTATATAAGAGACTTGTAGAATTTGTAATTTTTTTAATAATTTTTAATCAATATCAAATATTATTAGAAAAATAATTTTCACGGAATGATTTTGATGGGACTATCTCTGCTCAACGAATCAAAAGCTAACGCTGCTCTTGCAAAAGTTCATGATAATTTTAATGCTTAGTCATGTTAGAAATTTGTGTGCTAGCTTTTTTGAGTGAGTCATTAGAAGATTTGGTTTTATATATAAAATCATAATTAATAGATAATTTAATATTTTTTAAAACTAATTATTATATAAGTTTGAAAATCATTATACATATGTTTATTGTAATTATACAAGGTTCATAGGTAATTTTATCATTTCAAGTTTTCATCCAATAAGTTATGATCTTCATAATTTTTGTCTTGAATGTCATCCTAGTTTTCAGATGTACTTATTCAAAGGTTTCAAAATATACTTTATTTACTTTTGATAATAAAATGAGTAATCTTCGATTATATTGTTCATGAAAGTAAAAGGATGTTACCTATAAAAGACATTTTAATGCTCCAATTAGTATTTGGTTTTACGCAAGTTAACACAATTATTATATACTCCCTCTTATAAAAATTTTAAAGTAGGTTTCTTCAAAATTGGAATCCATCATTCTTGTTATTTTTACTTTTTTGATAATCAAGGGAAACCTCTTTTACTTCTCAGACAAGTATGACAAAAAGCTACTCTTTTTATTATCAAAAGTAAGTAAAGTATATTTTTAGCCCTTCGGATAAGTACAATCAAAGACTAGGAGGATGCCAAAGACAAAGACTACAAAGAAAAAGACTTATTGGACGAGAATTTAAAATAATAAAATTACCTATGTACCCTTATGTAGATATACTTACTATTGAATAAATATGTATTAAAATAAAGTTCAATTCACAGGTTTGATAAATATTGTGTATACATAATCTATAGTATGTGATAAAGAGAAATTAAGATTGTTGTTATTATTATGATTAATTGGAGTCCTCTCTTTACTCTAACTAGAATTTTAACTCCTCAAAGTATATAAGATAACTTTTTTTTTATTATATATAATTATTTATTTATATAAATTAACATTATTTTATTATTTTTTAATAAATTAAATTAATTAATTAATTTAAAAATATTGATTTAACTTTTTTTATTCATAAGAATAGAACATGATATTAGTGGAGTTTATAATTACTCATGTATATTATTCAATCATTTAAGATGAAATGATTTAAATACGAAGATAGTAATATAATTTAAAAAGACTTAAATATATTTTAAGCCTCTCCATATATCATTATGCCGGTTTTAGTTCTTACAATTTATTTTTTTGTTACTTTTAAATTTCTAACATATCTTTTTAATATATTTTTTTTAGTCTTTACTATATTAACTCTAGTTAATTTATTGTTGATGTAACATTATATTTTTTATAATATTAAATAATACAGTTATTTAATTATGATTTATTTTATTTGATTCAAATAGTTTAATTAATTGAGCATGTAAAATAAATTAAGAGTGTTTTATGTAAAAGATTAGCTAATAAGTTAGCATGCATCAAAGGTTAAATTTGGGTTTGAACTCTAGAAACTCAATCCATATTTAACTTAGCATATCATAATGGTAAGTTTGAGGGGATACAAGTTATGCTTTAATTTTGTGCTCTACATTTTCTGACACTCCAAAGACAACTTGTAGAAGAGACTCTACTAGAAAGCCTTGAGGAGCAAAATCTGAAGAGGTAATGCTAAGACTTGGTATCTAAAAGGAAAATACTACAAAAGCAGAACAAAAGTGAACAAAAAAGACAAACTGAAAAGGAGAGAAACAAACAAGATAATGATCACTCATCCCACAACGTAACCTTTAAAGGGATTTGTTAACACTATTTAAAAAGAAAAGGAAAAAAGAAAAGGCAAGAATATTCTCATGGACCAAACCTACTTCAAAATAATTTGGGCATACAATTTGGTTTGTAAAGAATCTTAGAATACTAACATCCACTTGAATACTTGATCAAGCAAGTTCAAATTAATGACAGCTTACGTTTGACAAGCCACCAGAAAATAGTGCAAATGAGAAATCTGATCTCTGATTAATTAGCTGAAGCTTCAGAAACCCTTTTCCAGTTACTTTGTAGAGGGGACTTGAGTAATTTGCATATTGATACTGCACAATGATAAACTCTCATTAGACCATCACTTCAAGAAAACCAACTAAAAGTATTGGAAGTTGGGATTTTTCTACTATCATAATTAAATATTTTAAATTCTTGCAGTTTTCTATTCTGCTTGTATGTTTGGACAAAGATTGCTTATGACAGAAAGAGTAATAAGCAAATAAAATTTGCTTGTTAACTTGGTCATAATTTACTTTTAACTTTATCTAATCAAGAGTTAGTTTTAGTATTTAAGCACTTATTGTAGCAATTTCAATGTGTGCAAAATTAATTTCCTAACTCAAATGTATTAGATCATTTTTTGGTCTCTTTGTACGTGAGGTTGAAGATTTTCTAATTTTAGACTATTATATGTTTCCTTAGTCTTATTCCATATCGTTTCTGTTCTATTTCAATCAGAAAGAAATGATTGTGATAAACTTATTACAAAAACATAGAACAGGTTAGTGGTCACATCCCCGCATGTACCTTAATGGGCGCAGAACACAATAGTGGCGGATAGACTCTACGATTTTCTTTCGCACATGTGGAAGCACTGAAATGCAAAAAACAGAAACTTTTAAATAAAACTAAGCAATCAAGTTTGGTTGTACAAAGCAAGAATTTAATCAAAACTTTTAAAGGACTTCAAATTGTAAAGCCAGTTTTCTGGCTAAAGTTTAGAACGATACATAGACACAGATTTTGAATGTTACCTAAAGTTTGCGGGAGAGAATACTCCAATCCAATCATCAGTCGATGGAATTGGAGAGCTGTACTCTAAGGTTACCCATTCAGCAGTTTGACCCTATAAAAGAATCCCGTAAAACTCAAATCAGCAACAAGGCAATATGGAAGATGGCAAGCAGAAAAATAATACAAAAGTTAAAAGAAATTGGTAATCATCAAAAAAAAATATACAACACTGATGAATATACATTACACAACAGTTAAAACTTACTTGTAGTCCAAGAACTTCTGGTGATGCTTTGATGTAAGCAAGGTCAAGAAGTGATACTGTTGCCTTATGAACAGCAACTTTTGATAGAGGTTGGTCTCCATGTGACCACACCCTTTGGAGCACTGAACAAACCAATAGAAATGCCAAGGAGACAAACTTGGATCCCCCCATTTGAGCTAGCTGTTTCAGCATGAGCTGTAATTAATTACACCAAACCCTATGTAAGTAGTTATAATATAATCAAAGTTACAAAGCAGTAAAGATAGACTATATTCATGAAGAAAATTCTAAGTCCAATTCCAGAAAACCTGGTTATCTTACTTATCTTTTCCCCAACTCACCAAAATATTTTGAAGTAGAAAAACAAAAAAATTGGCAAATTATAGAATATGCAAAGGTAAGGTAACTGCAACTTTATAAGAAGTAGATGGCGTTAGAGTTCACCTACCTGTCACTTATCTAAATTTGTTTGTTGAAAGAAAAATAGAAGCTTTTAATTTGAGGGAAGAGATATTTCATAGGACAATAGATTGCAAGAGGAATCTTGGGAACAAAAAAAACAAAGATGCCACTCCACTCTAACTAACAACCAACATCGTTTTAATAGTATGGCTCCAGTTATAAAATATAAACTAGTGCACACGTGGACCACTTATCTTAACTGTTAGATAACTAATTTTTTATTAAATGGTTGAGATTTGTCACCAGTAACTTGTTGAAAGGGTGAGGTGTGTTACTTTTTTAAAATTGCTAACTCATCCCTTGCCAGAGTTGTTTTTCTGATTTTGGAGAGTGAAGTCCTTAAATGGTTGCTGATCTTTCCTCTTCCCTTTGTGCCAATTCTCACTCAAATAAAGCCTCTTTCTTTAGCTATTTGGCTTGGAGGGTTTGTCTATTGTCCAAGGATAAGGCTATTATTGAAGTTTAGGGTTTAGGCTGCTAAAAAATATCTATCTATCAGTAGTTTTAACAAAATACAAAGGTCATACATATTGACAAATGGTTTGCTATAGCAGAGAGGCTTGGCTTGGAGCGTGTATCTATTCTCGTCTCTTCTCTCGGACAGGTTAAATTTCTCGTTTTTAAATTTTTTTTTTTGGATGGAGTTTAAGTCAAAGTTTTCATCTTTTTCCTTGGTTTTAAAAAAAATGCTGATTTTGTATTTGGGTCACAAGTATTGACGATTTTTTCTACTTTTCATTTATTTGATCCATCTTATGAACGAGGGATTAATTGTTAAATAAAAAGAGTGATTGGTATAAGAAGCATCAAGCATGTTGGAAAACATCATTAAAAGGGATTTCATGAATTTGATTTTTGTGAGAGTGCACTGCCATCATTTGATCCATGTAACAGACCTCACTCATTAGGATAAAGCTATTGTTGTCGTTATTATTGGCTGATACAAATGCTTTATCTGTTTCCATATTCCTACTACCATTGACAGCATTGTCATGTGACACTTGTGTTCTGCATACATATTTGTTCATTGCCGGAAAGTTTCATCCTTTTCGTTTGAGTTACTATGGAAAAATGTTTGATTTGACTGCTGAAAAATTCATGGCCAAAGAAATTGAAGTGTTGGTGGCGGTTGTTTGCCATGTTTCAAATGCTTGACAAAGGAAGGATTTGACAGACAAAACTGTCCAGGTAAATTTCCTTCACATAATCTATGAAATGTATTTGGTGTGATGTGTCGAATACATGTTCATGTACTTGGAAAACTTCTGTCTAACTACATCTTATAACTTTTTTACTTTTACTTTTTGAACATTTATGCCAATATAAATGAAAATATCACAATAGTTAGATAATTTATCACGTCTACAATATCAGTTCCATGTTTAAAATTTGTATTTTATGTTAGTGTTAATTTCAGAATAGTTTTACACGTAGTATAGCCGAATCATATCCCATCATTTTAAAAAAAATTGCGGAATACCTTTTTCTTGATTTTATCTCTGCTTTCAATCCTCTTTTTACTTATCGATGGGGGAAAGTAATTGTACTAGTTACTGTAGTATTTTTTTTGGTATAGTACGAAAGCTAAAAAAAAAAAAAAAAACAAAGATGAGTAGAAGGAGTGGAATTTTTTTTAGGCATGTGGACCATCAAAGGTGGCAAATTCTTCTCTGGCTGGGGAACCCAAGTGTCCCCTACACTTTGTGATTTTTTGTTTTTGTCCATCCATTTGGAGATTTTATTTTTTTTTGATAGCCACTGGAAATGGGTCTTCCAGAGTGCCACAAATCTATCTGATTAAGACACCATGCTTGCCCTCTCTCCCACTTGATTCCCTTATTTTATCACCATTTTTTTCAATTTTAATCTTATGTGTTTTAAATTGCACTCACACTTTTATGGTGATCCTTAACCATTGCAAGAAATTATGGACTAAAAATCGATAATGTAGTGCATGTTTGGTTTCCGTTTATGATCCTCATCTATATAAAAATTACATAAAAAAAATATGCAAAAGCCACTAAGTGCATATTTGATTTTGCATTAGTAATCCACTTTGGTCCTTAAAACTACATTAAATAAAGTGATGAAGAAACAAATCTGAATTGTTTCTTTTTTTAATTTAAGCCAGAATGTAATTAATGAGGTACAAAACATACCCTAATTGTTGCCTTGAGTGATTTACATCCAACTCAAATTGATGTGAATTCAAACTTCTTCATATAATATTTGAGTTCAAAATATAAGGGTATTGGGATTACAATCTTGGTCGCAATTCGCAAACCAATTTGTTCTTTTGACAACGTTGATTACCAAACAGCGAAGTCAAAGTCATGCAAATTTCGTTTCGCAGTTGTTAAAGTTGACTGAGTTCTCAATTATTTAATTTGTATGATTGAGGCTGTAAAGATATAATCAGGTACACGTCTCTGATATGGTATCATGTCAGCTAAGTACCCCAACATCTTAATGATATAACGTCCATATATTTTAAAATATGGTACTTTGTACAGAAAATTTTGTCTCATTGTTATCTCTCATTCAAAAAAATAATAATAATAAGTTTTAAATACTATTTTTGATTTTTTATGTCTTGACATTTTTATTAAGTGAAAAAATAAAAAGTAATTAAAAATATAATTATAAGTTTTAATATTGACAATATTTAATAATATCTAAATTTTAATTAAAAATATAATTATAAGTTTAGAATATTGACAACATTTAATAATGTCTAAATTTTATATAGAATACTTCAATATTTAATATTTTGAAATAAAAATGTGTGAATTAATAAATTATTAATAAAATATTTTGACAATATTTAATAATATCTAAATTTTAATTAAAAATATAATTATAAGTTTTGAATATTGACAATATTTAGTAACATCTAAATTTTATATAGAATATTTCAGTATTTAATATTTTGAAATAAAAATTTGTGAAGTAATAAATGATTAATAAAAATGTGTGTGTATGTATCTATGTATGTGTCTGTCTGTGTGCATGTGTGTTTGTGTGTATGTGCACGCACGTGTGTATGTGTGTGTGCGTGTAACTTTATAAAAAAAATTGTTTAAATTTATGATGTATATATAAATTATTGTGAGTGACAATTGTCTTTTTAGATGAGTTTGAAGTAGTGATCATGAAAGGTAGTGACACTTACAAAGACTCTCATTATAGAAATATTTAGTGAGAAAGTTAGTTACATAAGTTAGGTCACATTTAAAGATGAAAATAAGTTAGGTTATATTTTAAATATACAAGTTAGATATGTTCTACAAAATTAGGGTTGTCAAAATGGGTTAGTTCGATTCATTTGGCTTGACTCATTTTAACCTACTTTATATGTGAGCTGGTGCAGCCCAGCCCACCTGTGTTAATGCCTAAAATTTTTCGGTTTAGCTTGGACCATCACAGGTTGATGGGCTAAATGGGTTAACCAACCAACCCACTTACTTATAAAAAAAATAAATAAAAATAAATAAAAGCTCCAATTTAAGTTGTTATAAGTTAGTATCAAATTTTATTGAAGTGGTTGTCCATCAATATTAAATTTTATTGGAGGTTTGACTAGATAAATCTATAGTAATTTCATGTTGTTTAACATCAACTTTATCTTCATTTACAAAAAATGGTACTTGCTAAAATAATGTATATATAATAATAAATGGTTAAGTTAATCATTGGTGGGTTAAACTAATGAGAGGTGTAAGTAAGTTAGGTGCGTAGCCTAGTCCACCACGGGTTCAACCAAGGGTGGGTCATGTTGAAAGTGGATTGGGTTGAAGTTTTTGGCCAATTATGAAGTTCTTGGTTTTTTTCTTGCTTTGTCTGGCCCATTTTCAAGGTGGGCCCAAGTTGGCCCACGATCCACAATCCATTTTGATAGTTTTATATAAAATTAAAGCTTAAGTTTGACCTATTATTTATCATAGATTTTTTTATACGTTTAACCTAACATTTTTAAACATCTATTTGAGGGGGTTTAAGGCTGTAATGTTTCATAAGGATGGTTCTAATGCCCCAAGGCCTGACAGGTTTGGTGGTACCTTCTATTAGAGATATTAGGATATAATTGGCCAAGATGTTTTCCAATCCCTTTTTTTATGTAGAATTAGATTCTTCCTAGCCTTAACTTCAATCTAGTTGCACTCATTCCCAAGTTTCCAAAAGTAGACTGATGGAAACCTTCTAGAGAATCCAGATTGATGTTGCCTTCTCCTTCAAGTTTCTCCCTAGACCTTTAGCTTCTTGACACTCTTTAAGCTTCTCCTAAGCCTCCAATGGTTGAGGAAGCTTCGATGTTCACCTTAGAAGGTGAACGACACTTTTCAATTGGTGCCACTCCTTGGAGGAAGATGAACAACTTCAATCCTCATCACACTCTTTATGAAGAGGATAAGAGAATTAAATCAAGATCAAAGAGATTTAAGAATTTTAGGGACAGAGAATTCAGAGAAAGAACTCGGCTATGCTCTCATATAACATCCAAAAGTGTCTACAAAGTGAAGGAAATACCTTATATAAAGAATAGGTAGCTTATGGTGTAAGCTAATCTAACCACGGTTTAAATAGAACCATAGTTAGCCTTCTTACACTTAAGCTAACTATCCTTAGTTACCTTCCTAGAAGCTTGTGGAGCAAGTCAAGCTAACCTTAGTTTAAAAATGACTTAGGTTAGCTTAACTTAGCTCCAATTAACTAACCTAATGATTACTTCTAGTAGTTAGTTGAGATGTCACTTTCAAGGCCATATGGAAGCTTCTCCTACAAGCTTTGGATGTTGGATGGCTTCCTCACCAAGCTTGGATGTCCAAAACACTTGCCTAGGCAAGTGGATGTCCAATCTTGGTATATTTTATAAATCCATTTGGGTCATCCAAGCCCAAACAATCCCATGGTCTTTCTAGTTACACCTCCCCTAAACTACTAATTACACCAAAATACAAGGAACAAAAATCCTACACTACTTGACCCAAAATACAAGGTCCAATGAAGTAAAATACTCCAAGAAACATACCCTAAAATCCTAAGGGTGTGACCTACTAAGAAAAATAAAGATTCCTTATAAATACAAAGGCAAAAATAAGCCTATACAAGTATCTACTATATACAAGGTACAAGAACTCAAACTATACCAGGTATGTACAATAGAGACTATGAGACTAAAAAAAGGAATCACACTCAATGCTCATATAGAGCATAGGTCTAAGAAACATCTCCTCTGTAGAAGCCTCCTCTAGCCACCTATTGTTGAGCTTTTAAGTGTGATTTCTCCTATTTATACTAGTCTCCACCTCCATTCTCAAATCTTCCAGATTTGTAGATATTTTAATCACATGGTAATTAGGTGTCCATGTTGTAGATATTTATAGGACTTTTTAGAATCTCTGAGCACGATAATTATCTTGCATGTGGACATCTATAATAAATACGAGTAGTGAGGCAATCTTTAAGCCTAA